CATGTCTACATCACTGTCAGTGATTCAAAATGCCAGCTGCAGTTTAAACTCCATGGCAGAATGACTTTCAAATAAAAAAATAAATTAATAAACATGATAAATAAATAAATAAATAAATAAATAAATAAATAAATAAATAAATAAATAAATAAATAAATAAATAAATAAATAAATAAATAAATAAATAATGACAAAGCTATTTATTTTTATTTCAACCGAGTGTGTGGCAAAGCCCAAATAAATCCGTGAAACATAAAATTAAAAAAGTGTGGCCTAATTGAATAGAAAAGACTCATCTATGCTAATCCAGTTCATTTCACTGCACCTAGTGTCATGCTCTATTTACAAGGCTGAGGTCAGCATGCTCTCATGGCTGTGTGTAGTGTATGAACATATTGATCACATGTGGCAGAGTCTATCACATAAGCTACTGCTGGTTTATGGTGAAGTGTGGTGAAATGTGGCTTTATGTCGCATTCAATGTTATTGCACTTATATAGCGATGTGCACGCCTGAATTTGTACTGGTCCGAACAATGCAGGTTTTATCATGTAGTGCTGTCAAACTACCACGCTGCAGTTTGACATGAATACCCCACTCCGGCACAGTATACTGATTCCAAGTCAACCAGTCCTTGTTTTATCTCTTAATGCCGAGCTCTAGGCAGGGTAACAACTAGTGCCATATTTGACATATTTTGGTAAGACACCAGGGATTGAACCATGAACCTTTCGTACACCTGGTAAACAATCTATCCACTTCACCACTGCTGCCATGAAGTTTAGCATGGATATAGAGTAGGAAGTGGTAGCAAGTAGCATAAAAATAACTACAAGTCTGATTTAATTGCTACCAGCAGCATTAGAAATTGCCACAAGTCCTGTAGTCCTTACGAAACTGCCCAACAGCTAAGGTAGCATAGAGACTAGAAGAAATATGCCTTTTGAGCGTTTCACAATATGTTATCATTATAAAGACAAGTGGACTAAAACTGTTCGTTTTCTATCACTCTACCAGACCATTTTGCCGAGACAAAAGCGAAACTAGGCTTTGATATAGGCTAGTGGAAACTCTTGCCTCAGAAAGATGGCTGACAACACGCCAGAAGGTCCCCCAGGGCTGGGACAAGTCCAAATGTACCACCCTGGTACCAAACCCCCTTTACCCGACCCTACCCGGGTACCTGCTGTAGGTCTCAAGAGGTTAGTACAAAATGCCCAATTGAGAATAGTTTGAATGGAGCTCTGGCAAAAAGTATTTAGATACAAGGATACATGTATAAAACAATCTGGTCACGAATACACTGAAGTCGACTGAAGCTCTATCTTTATTCAAACATGTAAAAGTCTGACGCAAGGCGTGCATCATCAGAAAGAAATGCCAGTATTATCGACTTGTAGTGTAACCATGGAGTTCAAGATAATTTTTATCGTTAAACAATATATCATGTGACTAACAACGGGTCTGGGAAGTCATGTGGGTACCCGGATCCTACTCAGTACCCACCTGGCCCCATCTTCCCGAGGCAAGTGAGTTAACTGACTATAAAAGTCCAGTTTCCACCCTTGCCGAACTAGGCTGGTATTATGGAGTTACATTTTGGCTGGACTAACGAGTCTATGCATAGTCCAATCAAAATCGTGCACCGAAATTGAAATCCGGTTCGTAGAGTGTCATGCAGATGTTGGTCGACTGCAGGATTTGCAAAGCATGTGCACGCTAACTCGTTGTCAACAGATATTTTCTAAATATTTTCATGTTTGTAATAAAGGTGCTCACATGATTTGATGCACTTCGCGATGTAAGACTCGTTTTATCACAAAATAGATCTTGATTATGGAACAGATCGTCTTGACTGGGCGCCACCGTTTTGTTTGAAACAAATGCAAGTGATACGAGAGGTTGAATCTGATTGGTCAATAGGAGAGGCATAGAAAGGACATAACTCGTAATAGCCACTGGTGGCGCTACGATCGAGCCCAGGAATTCCAGCCTAGTTCGGCAAGGGTGGAAACTGGACTTTCAAAGTCAGTTAACTCTCCTGCCTCGGGAAGATGACCTAGCCCAAGTACACAAGTTACACACCCCAGACCTATACCAAAGCCTCTGTCAGTTAAGGCAAGCATTCTAGATATCATCATGATCATAGGGGCCATTCTTCCCTGGAATCCATCCCAGGCACACATCGATGGCATCATGTCTAGACAGACACCTCATCATGATACCACACAGATAAATAATAACACTTCCCTAAATAATCGTAAATGATGAGTTAGGTGAGATAATTCCCTACATACTATAAAATATTCATACAAAACAGAAATTATGCAACATATTAATGCTTAGAGGCACTGAAATATAGACGAGAACAGATTATGCAGCGTTTTTGGGTTTTGCTATATGTTATCATAACAAGGACTAGAGGACAAAAACTGTTGGTTTCTATTGCTGGATTATGCCACCTTATAAGTACTTGTGCGTTTCTGGTTTGCTAAAGCACGTTTCGGTTGTATGATTTTATCGTACTTGTATAATAGGTGTATTAAAGGTAAGAATCCTCTATATAGACTCCTAACAAGCTGTTATAGAGAAAATCATTTATAACACCATGCTTTCATTTGTGAAAGTATGTACATAATTGGGACTCGTTCTACTTTTGCTTGTTTTCATTAGAGTGAGTGAGTTGGGTTTAACGGTATTCCAGTTATATCATTGTGTGTCAGCTTGATGTGGGAGGAAAGCCCGAAGTGGTGCAGGTCTCAGATGTTTACCACTTTGGTGAAACCCACGAGCACGGGTATGGTGCTGACAAACCTAGAAACATAATCGGGGCAAACCAGGATTCGAACCCACGATCACAGGTTTCTGGCGTGCCCAAAGGACGCAACTCTGCACAGCAAATTGTGGCGCCTCAGACGACTGGGCCACCCGTGCCCCCTGTTTTCGTTAGATTGGTTGGTTAGTTTGTTGTTTAACGCCGCCCTCAGCTATATATTTTAGCTACATGTCGGCGGTCTGTAAATAATCAATCTGGACCAGATCATCCAGTGATTAATATCATGAGCATCGATCCACGCAAATGGGAGCAATGACATGCATCAACCAAGTCAGCGAGCCTGACCACCCGATACCTTTAGTTGCCTTTTACAGCAAGCATGGGTTGCTGAAGACCTATTCTACCCCGGATCTTCATGGCGTTTTTCATGAGAAGGGAGACAAAATAATTATTACCAATTATAAACAGAAAATTAACTCTTGTAAGGAAATTTTATTCATTCACCAGAAAAACACCATGCCCAATTATTACTTGCACAAAAAACACTTTTTTACACAAAAAGACACACAGGTGTTATCTTAAAACTAGTTCAAATAAACCAAAAATAGCATTCACTGTGCCAGTTACTACCAATATCCGAAAACAGCAAAATATGCACTTCCTTATTTCTGCTCACTAGAACTAGTCATGTGACAATCCCGGCTTGTATCTTTTCTCCAGCTATAATACAGCAAGGTACAAATCTGCCATACCTTATTTGCCATGCTACGGTAATTAGGAAATTTCTAACAGGGGCACTTAATAAATCCATTAGTGAGAAAAGTTTTACACCGCTTTTAGCAATATTCCAGTAATATCACGACAGGAGACAACAGAAATGGGCTTTACACATTGTACCCATGTGGGGAATCAAAACTGGGCCTTTGGCGTGACTAGCGAACACTTTAACCACTAAGCTACCCCACCACCCCCAATACATCCATGAAAAGACAGTGAAATTTGTTACAGATCAAGCGGTTGTGAACAAAATTAGTTCAAACAGGGAACAAAACTTGTTACAATAATAGTTTACTAGGCAATTATATCATGGTGTATGTTGTCTACTGTTTTGTGAAACCAAATCTGTACTGTCATCAATATACACATGGAATTAATTCATACGGAGTGTCATACTTATTTATGGTCTTAGTTTGTTTGTGTATTGTTTTATTTATATATAATGTTTAATGCCACAGTAATATTCCAGCTATATGACGGCGGTCTGTAAATAATAGTCTGGACCAGACAATCCAGTGATAGACATCCCGAGCATCGACATGCATCAACCAAGTCAGCAAGTCTGACCGTCCCGTTAGTCTCCTCTTACGACAAGCATAGTTGCCTTTTACGACAAGCATGGGTTGCTGAAGACCTATTCTAAGTAATCTAACACGGATCATCATGGGTGTATGGTCTTAGTAGGCTCCGGGGATGTTTATAAAGATTACATACAGACTGTTACAGAATTATTGATTTACTGGAAAAGGGCACTAATATCATATGGCGAATACAAATTTTTAATATTTCCTGTCAAGTGTTGGTTTTGCTCATTACATTCGGATAAATATTTTTTTCTATCTTCTAACGAAAACAAGGTGCAATCAAGGTCATGTCATGATGAGGTGTTGGAGATAATTGCATCGCAGCAATAACATGTCTCCAGGCAGTAGGCATTCTTCTCTTACCATGTTTACAAACCACGATAAACAAAGCTTGCATTATATTTGATGTATACCCATCCATTAGACGCTTGTAAACAGTGCATATCCACATGCATCAGCCCCAAGTAGGACAAGTAGTATTTGTATCATGTTTTATTGGGAGTGGCTTTAATGACACACAAGGCTTGTAAAACGATGTTTATTAAATTTCCGCTAAGAATTCCATGCACATTGTATCAAACTTGATTCACTTTTAGACTCCCGTGTTTTCGGTGTGGAAATGCCATGCCCTACATATATATCAGCTTCTTTCAAATTCCATTCCTCTTGTTGTACAACATTCACACAACAACTGTGCGGAAAATGTCCCGGTTGGTCACATATTAATGCATCATTTCGCGGCATTTCTAGTTCGTCTCAAACAGAAGCTGCACCAAGGCCGCTTGACCACACCTATTTTGCCATTTTGCATTAATGGGGATAGTCCCATCATGTTTACAAAACCTGTTAGGGCATTCACTCACCGTATTCCTTTGAATCCACCATTTCAATCTCTTCGTCTGTGGGTTCCCCTTCGTCATCTTTATTTCCACAACACCCCATTATTTCAAATTTCCCACACAGACGTCGATAAGGTTTCTCACGTAAGTTTGCACAATCAAGCGTATTTGATAACCACCTGATATCGCGCCGCTTCCTTGTTTACAAGTGTACCCCCTCTAGCGGCAAGCTTCTCACACACTTGCAAGGGGAATAACGATTTATTTTGAAGCACCCGTAAAATATATCTTCATGCGCCCGATTCAGTATTTGTGAAGAAACGCAAGACAATTACTTCGGCTAATGTACAGGTGCCGTTACGAATGGTGTGTACACATTCGCTATTCATTCTAGTCTAATAATTCATTAATAATGCTTTCCGTAATTAAATATACAGCCAAATTTATGCACAGCTTATATTTACGAATGATCACTTGAACAAAATCACTTTCTTCACCTCGACGATATATTTCCAGACAAGTAACACGAACTGCAAATTGTTTTGTTTGTATGTTCGTTGTTTTACTCCGCACTCAGCAATATTCCAGCTGTAAGACGGCGGTCTGTAAAAACCGAGCTGGATCAGACAAACCGATGATTGATAGCACTCGCAACGTTCCATGCCCACTTGTCACTTTGATGCATGTTGTTACCTCGTACGACAAGCATACGTTGCGGGGGATCTAATCCAACCAGGAATCCTCATAGGATATTGCAGTGTGAACATCGAATTTGTCTATGGTTACATTTCTACAAGTAGATTTATACTGAAAGATAAACATTCAAATTCTCACATGACTTTTTTTATAAATTTTTTTTTTTTATCCAGACCGGTACCATTTTGTACATTTTTTTAAAAGATTCTAAATAAAATAAAGAATCCATGCATGTATGCGTTGCAGTTTAGCACAGTTTAGCGTCACACTAAATGCATAGGGGCGGTGGGGTAGCTTAGAGGTTAAAGCGTTCGTTATTCTCGCCGAACACCCGGGTTCGATTTCGAAAGTGAGTACACTGTCTGAAGCCCATTTCTGGTGTCCCCAGCCGTGATATTGCTGGAATACTGGTAAAAAAAAAGGCGCAAAATCATACTCACTCGCGGGTAAAAGCCAAGCTTAAAAACGACTTTTCTGCAGTTAAAATATCACGGCGTTTCAGCTTCAAATGTGAGGAAAGCCCGAAGTGAAATGAAGCCGGTGTTTATAAACGTTTACCACCTGTTGAAACTCACGTGCACGGGTATGATGCTGACGAATCTGGGATTCGAACTCATGACCCAAGGTTTCTGGCTCGCCTAAGGGACGCAACTCTGCATGTGCGTCGAACAGCGTTGCCTTGACGACTGGACATGTGCCACAAGACAAACATGATTATTGTACACTTATTACATGGCGGAAAATTTAATCAGCGATGATGATAACGTAGTTTTTTAACCACATCATAGGGAACTGGCAAAGTTTCAGAATAATATCAGCCATTAATCAAATATTTATGTTTTGTGTAACATTATCAATACAATAAAAGAGCTTTATCATGCAAGAAAATACTGTTTTAATGTCAAGTCACGTGAAACAACAGATGTTCCATTGTATGTCATTATTCCGTTGATGTCAGGCACTTAGTACAATCGGGGCATGAGTATCGATTCTACCAGGTCTGGTGTTTTGTGGAAGGGATCAACTCGAATGTCTTCATTTCGTCTTCAGCAACCCATGCTTGTCGTGAAAGGCGACTGTGCTTGTCTTAAGAGGCGACTTACGTGATCGGGTGGTCAGGCTCTCTCAGTTGGTTGATGCATACCATTGTTTCCCATATTGCGTGGATCGATGCTCATGATGTCAATCACTAGATATTGGTCCAGACTCGATTATTTACAGACCGCCGTCATATATCAGGATCCGGACATGCCTCTTACGACAAGCATAGTCGCAATTTACGGCAAGCATGGGTTGCTGCAGACCTATTCTAACCCGGATCTTCACGGGTCGCGTGATATGTAAAAAAATGGCGTCCAATCATCTCAAATACACTTTGAAGCATTCTAATTTGGCTTGACACCACACAGATAAAATCCTTAAATTGAAAGTAAAAATAATGATCTTGTATCAATGTTTGCTTTTTTCAACACTACAGCCACAACTGCGTAGCTTCAAACGAACTTCATTTACTGCACGGCAAGCGCCTGTAAAATCACCAGGTCCATGGAATTTACTCTGACAAATGTGAGCAACACGCACTAACTTTATTCTTTATTCATTCATCAATACGGAACATATATTAATAACCTCTAATATTTATTTTACTGTATAAAGAGCCCGTCGCCATATGATTGCAATAAAACCCATTTCATCCGACCTAAAAAGCGGACTGTCATTTAATTGTTTAAGCCAAAGGGTAACGCATTCGTTGTTCACGAATTTGTTAACCGTTTGGGTAATACAGCCTGATAAAGTCTAAATGTGGTGATCACCCTATGGTTTCTATTTGGCTGTCGGTGTAGCCTTTCCAAATATTAACATCTGGTAAAACACCAGAGCGAATCTGTCTATAGAACTTTCATCGATAAAACCCCTTATATCATGAGTCATGATTAACAAGTCGTGATTCGAATTCGTGACACTAATATTATTATTATTATTTACAGTTGAAATAAAAAATGCAGCAAAGAGGGTTGAGGTGATCCTGGCACAGTCAGGCTGGTTAGACTCATCATCAGCTCAGGGCCCTTGCCCCCTCTACACGCAGCCCAGACAGCGAATGGGCTACTGCCAGGAAGCGCTGCCTAGTCAAACCCACCCAGAACATTTCGGAGAATGTGAAGACTCCCCAACACTGCAGCCTTCTGCATTATCTGATTGTCAGAAGGGCTGTATTCCTGGAAGCAAACCCGGATACTCTCCCAATGTCAGTCAACAGATTGGGAGGTACCAAACCAAGAACAATGGAGAGTCGGACAACTTGGTGCTTGGGATGCAAGCGTGACATTTCGAAAGCGCGGTCGGCATATTTGCCATGTTTTTCCTCAATCTTGTCAATCACATTTGTGTCAAAGGGGGACAGAAAATTATAATGATTTCATTGGATTTATCAAAAAGGACTAGATCTGGTTTGTTGGACTGGATACGTCTGAGGCTGTACATGGGCCTATTCCAAAGAATTTTGTATTTATCATTTTCCACGACGCCCTCTACATATTCCGGGTCGTACCATGGGTGGACCTCTGTGTCAAAACCACAAGCATGGCGAAGACGGTAATAAAATGATCGTTTAATATACTGTGTTTGTGCCAAAGCTGGGCGTCCACTGACAATGTGTTGGACAGTCTCATTAAATTCATAACATAATCTACATTTCATATTTACATTTTGATGCAAAATCACACATTGTCGGTTTTTGAGTGGGAAGTGACTGGTGACTGGAAAGCCTTTAGTTTCACTTTTCAGGCCAGACGACTTCATCCAAGCAGAGGACTCTGCAGGATTGCTGATCCTCTCAACACACTGCACATAAACTCGATGCAGTGGTCGTTCAGATAGCCTATTATTATTATTATTATTCAACGGTCTCTGAAAAAATGTTGTACCCTAGCATCTTCCCGAGGCAAGGGAGTTAACTGACTGTAAAAGCCCAGTGGAACCTGATGTACCCTCGAATATCATGCCTAACGACCAAGGTGCCTGGACAGGACATGGGTAACACACTGCAACCGTTCGTGGTCACGTAGGCTCCATTCCCAGAATGTCATGCTGTGCTGGACTTTCCCTGTGAAAGAATATGGTCAGTAGATACAGAGGTGTATTGTGCTGGTCAGAATGTTCCGAGTAGTGGGGAAAGTATAACGTTCCGCATTCATGGTGAAGTGTAAAAGTGAGTTGCGGGTGCTGTCCTTTCCCAAATGATGTCCAAGTTACCCTAGATAGGCAGTTGTAGTGTCGTCTGGAAGTCTGATTGCTTTCATCTTCCCGAGGCAAGGGAGTCAAATAACTGTAAAAGTCCAGTTTCCACCCTTGCGGAACTAGGCTGCAATTATGGAGTTACATTTGGCTGGACTAACGAGTCTATACATAGTCCAATCAAAATCCGGTACTTAAACAACATGGATTTCAACGTGCAGATTTCGGTCGACTGCAGGATTTGCAAAGCATGTGTACCGCCAACTGGGCGTCGACAGATATTCTGCATAGTCTAATCAAAGTGCTCACGTGATTTGATGCAGTTTGCGGGGTAAGACCCATTTTATTGCTATATAGATCTTGACTATCGAGCAGATCGTCTTGACTGGACGCCGCCGTTTTGTTAGAAGTAAATGCAAGTGATATGAGAGATGGAATCTGATTGGTCACTAGGAGGAACATAGAAGGGACATAACTCGTTATAGCCACTGGTGGCGCTACGATCGAGCCAGGAAATTCCAGCCAAGTTCAGCAAGTTTGGAAACTGGACTTTTATAGTCAGTTAACGCCCTTGCCCCGGGGAAACTGATGGCATCTGAATATCGGATGATGCGGAATAGCTGTTGGCTGGAGGATATAATCTTGTTTTGCATTGTATTCAGGTTAACAGTAGTAACTGTAAGTGTCGAATGTATTCAGCATGTATCAAACAAAGAAAATTAGCAGAGATCTCAAGTCTCAGCAAGTCCATTACACGGTTAGTTTGACATTGAGTGAGTGGTTTAGGCAAAAGATAGCTTCGCGAATATAGGACGAAATATTGGAGAAATGTGGTATGCAAGCATTGAAAGAGTTAACTCTATGTTCATGCAAATGCCTCCTGTCAAAACCGTCAATTAAAACCTTGACATTCGGGTTTGCCAGTTTCACACACACAGAAGGTCAAACGCTATTTGTACATTCGTCTTTTGGTGTGTAGGCTTACTTCCGGCTTGAACCATATTTACACTGTCTAAACCAGACACTGACTAATTCAAACTGGACCAGTTTTACGGTTCCGAATTTACTTGTTTCTTTAGGACAAAGTTATTGGTTTAATCCGGACTTCACCCCGGATTCCAGATTGAAATGTTTGTTTGTTTTTTTGTTAAACGCCGCACTCGGCAATATTCCAGCTATATGACCGCATCTGTAAATAATCGAGTCTGGACCAGACAATTCAGTGATTAATATCATGAGCATCGATCTACGCAATTACGGATTCGATGACATGCATCAACCTAGTCAGCGAGCCTGACCACCCGATCTCGTTAGTCGCCTCTTACGACAAGCATAGTCGCCTTTTACGGCCAGCATGGGTTGCTGAAGATCCATTCTACCCCGGATCTTCACGGGTAGAAATGTTGGTGAAAAGGACAAATGTATCATGGTTTTGTAACCAGTAGCCTACATACCAACTCGCCTTCATTCAACTAAAAACAAAAATGCACAATGTTGCACATACCCATTTAGAACATTGACTGAACCAGAGAACCGCGAGTGAGTTGGGTTAAACGCCACTTTGAACAGTATTCCAGTCTTATTATCACGGCGTGTTTAACGTGACCAAGGTGATGCAGGTCTTAGATGTTAGACACTTTCGTGAAACCCACGAGCACGGGGTAGTGCTGACAAACCTAAAAACATAATCGGGGCGAACCGGAATGCGAACCCACGATCATAGGTTTCTGGCGCGCACAAGGGACGCAACTCTGCACAGCGAATTGAGGCGTCTTAGACGACTGTGCGAGCGATTCGCCAACTAATGCATAGGCGAAACATAAACTATGTGGCTTGAAAAGAGAGTTTTCAGTTGTTGTATGAGATCTGTTGCATGTCTGCCAACCCGTTCCACAAGTGAGGTGAGGTGAGGTGAGGTGAGGTGAAATTGGGTTTAACGTCGCGTCCAAGATTATTGCACTTATATAGCGACGTGCATCTACGTGTGTGTTTGTGTGTGGCTGCTTGTACTAGTCCGGACTGATGCCGATTTATAGTGCTAGCTCACTGAGATACCATGCTGCAGTTTAACATGAATACCCCACTCAGACACAGTACACTGACTCCGAGCCGACCAGTCCTTGTTTTAGCCCCGTAAAGAGAACGACACTTGTTATACCCTAACCTATTTGTTTGTAGGCTTCAAGGAAATGGCTTACCTGCCACACCAAGTTGACACACCGTAATATAATAGAAATAATGTTCAATGCAGCGTCAACCAAACTCACGCATTGACCCCCTTCAGCACTAGATATGCAATATGTGAAACAAGTTACAAAAAATGTCCATAACTAATAACACATGATGACTATATTTCCACGTTATATGATGCAAATAAATTGTCATTAAACATTATAAAATAAAATATTAATTCTCCATGAAGGCTTTCGAAGAAGATCTGTATAATTATAATGTTTTCCTTCATGATGTATTCGAAAAGTCATCCTTGTATCTATTTCCGAGAATACATGTCTCCACCCCAACCCCCCTCCCCCACCCCCGTCTCGCACACGCACGCACGCACGCACGCACACACACGCTTCTTTTTGAAATACGTCAGTTACATTGACATTAAATCTTATGTGTTTGAATTCAGTAAGTGTCCCGACGTTCACGGGTCGCCGTCATATTGCTGGAATAATACTAGAACAATTAATTTCAAGCGATACGTGTAAGCTAGGAATATAATTCGTTTTAACAGATTCCAATAAAAACATAGATCCATTCTTGCTCATACTCTATCGGTATATTAGTGGGGATTTATTCTAACCTGTCGATTGTTTTCGCAATTACATCAGTACCGAGTCAACACTGTTATATATGTGACCGTGACCCTACATCCGTAATCGCCCGTTTCCGCCTGTCAGAATATAATCACACAGTCACAGTAGACGATTGGAAAGAGCACTCACTGCCACGATGCTGTCTGGAATAGTCGTCCTTTTCAGTCTTCTTCTCACGGTTAATTCGGCACAGCGGTATGAAAGGCTTCAGAGACAATACAGAGAATTGGCTAACAAGGTCAGTGTACTGTCAGAGGGTCTCGACACAGTGATGAAGAACATGAAGAGGTATGAGAAGATAGACCGTGCCCTGCAAAATCTGTGTGCGCAGCTCTCTGAAGAAGATGAAGAAGTAGATGATGATCATGATGATGATGAAGTGAAATCAGGACCATTGGAAGCAACCAAAAAGTATGACCAAACAGATAGCGTTCTGCACAATACGAATACTCAACTTTCTGGAGGTGACGGAGGAGGGAGGTCAGACTCATTCAGGCTTCAAGATGCAGACCTACAGGTAACATTTGCTAAAGTGGAACCAGATCAGGAGCAACAGTCTTTCTTCTTCCAATATTCAGCACCAGTTAAAGCAGTTGTAAGAGTACGTGCTTCGTTTGATGACAGAATAATTAACGTTGAAAACAGGTTTGATGATGGACATGGCAACATCACTGTTCATTCTAATCAATATCTGATGTTAACATTATTTTTACCAAACAGAGAACAAGTGCTTACTAAAATGTACACGACAGTGAATTCCGTAAATGAATCCGGACAAGTTGATGTCCCTACGTTAAGTCTTAATACTCTGCCGAGTGTGGAAGCTGTGTTCGAAAAAGGTTCATCCACCAACATTACAATACGTTACGTATCTGGTGGCGAAGGCTCTCAACCTGATTCAGATTATATTTTTTACGCTGTTAACACAACTGCGCCCAACACAATTAACGCTTATAACCAAAGAAGTCGACCTAACCCAGTGATTGTGGGTGCGAGACCCACGAAGGATGATTCCAATCACACGGACATAATAGTAACTATCAATGCTGATAAGAATGATCGTGAAGGAATCTTACTTCTCCGGCTTAATCTCCAGCCAATAAGGATCACTAAATTCGATCTATCCCTTGGCAAGGAACTACACATTCCTGTCAGAAGGGCTGACCATACTGCGCCCTTTCCGAAAGGATATTTGGGATTTTACTTTGACCGTTTTTCAAGTTCTATCCAATCGGATTTTTTGGGATGTGCAGAACATGGAAGTTGTACTGGATCCGTTCTATTGCTCGGTGACGACCCTAAAAATATAACTATATGGAGAATAGTGGGTGGACTAAAGACAGCAACCAGTCTTGTAACGGCGATGGATGTTACATCACTGTACACTGTAAGGATGGTATTTCGTTTGGTCAATGCGTCCTTATCAGACACAGGGAGATATGTCATACAAGGGGCAAGTGTGTCTGGCGTGGTCATTGAGAAAGAACTGCTTGTGGAAGTCCGGGGTCAATTTTCTGTGGTGAAAAAGTCTTCAGACGTGAGGACAAATACGCCAGAAAAACTTGTTGTCCGTTGCTTGGTCATGGGGTACCCCTCACCAGAAATTGGATTCTATGACAGGCCTTGGGGCGAAGCGGACCGCTATCAGTTTGTGAGAGGACCAGGCGTGACAATAAGAGGTCATAAGAGTCTTGATACCTCCTTCTCGGAGTTGACCATACAAGGACCTCACGAGGAGATCCAGGAAATATACTGTCAACCTGAAACGGATACCTATTCGGAGGAATTTCTTCTTTATGATTCAAGTGATGAGGATGACGACATTGCTGATCTTTAGTGTTATTTACGAATGACCTAGGTGTCGTTCCTCAAAGCGACCTTAGCACTATGGTGATCGTGACCTTCATACCTTAACATCGACTTCCGACAATGTTAGTGCGAAGATCGCTATGTACTTTGATTATGAAGTAACATATTTGGAACTTCTTAGATTCATAGCATGCAATATGTACATTGACAGTCTTTTCATTATTATTACTACTCTGTCACTTGTCATTAACCAAACACATGTTTGTATACTAGGGTAACGGATATAATATGTATCAATGAACTGTTTATTATACAACGGAGATATTAGTGAGAAATGATCTTCTTTTCTTCAGGGTTTAAATCCCAAAACTAAGAACCTCTGAGAGTCTTCATGTCTCAATAATCACCCACACTGCATTCCTACCGTCATAAGACACCACAATAAACCTATAAGTATAAATGGCGATAATAAATCATTTTACTCTAAATACTATATGATGTTATCGGAATTTTCTCGGATCTAATCATGTTTAGGAATGGGTTTAAATCATAAGCGGATTGCACGTTTGGTGTGTTTCTATCTAAACACGTTCAGGGGACAGTCGGGTAGCCTAGTGGTTAAAGCGTTAGCTCGTCACGCCGAAGACCCTGGTTCGATTCCCGACATGGGTACAATGTGTGAAGCCCATTTCTGGTGACCCCCGCCGTGATATTGCTGGAATATTGCTAAAAGCGGCGTGAAGCCATACTCACTCACTTAACACGTTCAGGATCAAAATACATGAAATGAGCAACGTATCACAGCCTAAACACATCCGCATATCTAGGCATGTAGAATTTAAAGACGTTTTGGACACAGTGCCTATCATTGTGTATTATCCAAATAATATAAACATCTTCCTCCCTTATTAAGGGGGCGGTCGGTTAGCCTAGTGGTTAAAGCGTTCGCTCGTCACGCCGAAGACCCGGGTTCGATTCCCGACATGGGTACAATATGTGAAGCCTACTGATCCCGCTTGGCTAGGCCTTGTGCCCTCGCAAAATCGTTTCGAAATTTATATCTTCAAAGTTGCCAAAACTTATAAAATGCCTTAGCTACGTCACAGTTAGACACTGATTTTAAGTATATTAAACTGTTCTTTTGAAAATGATTGCAATTATATCTGTAGTTTCCCGATGGTTAATTCTGACTCGTTTGCCGAATGACAAGGGCAGCGCCATGTTTGTTTATAAACACTGAAAGTAGTACCTACTTGACCTTTGGTATTTGCATCTCTAGCCGCATATGACCCCAACGGATATCGTTTTGATCCGTAGGCTTCATCCTGCCGAGAAATCTGCCCATTATATGATAAAATGGCCCATCAGTAGTGTCAATAGCTATAGACCGGATGTGTTCTGATTAAAGCTTTCCTTAAGGTACGTTTATGATGTGTTTTGTTGGTTTGTTTGTTTTTTAAGCCCCCATTACACAGGGCTGCGACCTTTGTGCCACCTTCGAGCGATCGAAAACTGGCCAGGACGCTCAATGGTCGCCTAAACCCAGAAAATCATGTTTCTATGTAACTGCTCCAGCAGTTGTTCAGCAGTTGTTCAGCAGTTGTTCAGCAGTAACTGCTCGTGTTGTTCAACGTCTGCAACCACAATGAAACACTGCAGGTAAAAGCCCTCTTTTTATAGGCAGGATGAGGAGGTACTACAGGTAGCTCAAAGGAGGCAGAAAAGAGGCAGAAGCATTGCCTTGGTGTTTCAAGTGTTGCCGTGGTCGCCGATTGGAGGCACGGCGGTCGCCATACCCAGATTTACGGAACAGTATTTCAGCAGAACGCATCTATTACCTGGCGACCATTGGGCGACCACTGTGCCTTCATTCTGCAACAACGGCAATGCTTGTGCCTCCCTTCTGCCTCCTTTGAGACACCTTTGAGCAACTAACCTCCTCGGCGACCTTTGTGCGACGGTGACCATGGCGTGACAATAAGAGGTCATAAGAGTCTTGATACCTCCTTCTCGGAGTTGACCATACAAGGACCTCACGAGGAGATCCAGGAAATATACTGTCAACCTGAAACGGATACCTATTCGGAGGAATTTCTTCTTTATGATTCAAGTGATGAGGATGACGACATTGCTGATCTTTAGTGTTATTTACGAATGACCTAGGTGTCGTTCCTCAAAGCGACCTTAGCACTATGGTGATCGTGACCTTCACACCTTAACATCGACTTCCGACAATGTTAGTGCGAAGATCGCTATGTACTTTGATTATGAAGTAACATATTTGGAACTTCTTAGATTCATAGCATGCAATATGTACATTGACAGTCTTTTCATTATTATTACTACTCTGTCACTTGTCATTAACCAAACACATGTTTGTATACTAGGGTAACGGATATAATATGTATCAATGAACTGTTTATCATACAACGGAGATATTAGTGAGAAATGATCTTCTTTTCTTCAGGGTTTAAATCCCAAAACTAAGAACCTCTGAGAGTCTTCATGTCTCAATAATCACCCACACTGCATTCCTACCGTCATAAGACACCACAATAAACCTATAAGTATAAATGGCGATAATAAATCATTTTACTCTAAATACTATATGATGTTATCGGAATTTTTCTCGGATCTAATCATGTTTAGGAATGAGTTTAAATCATAAGCAGATTGCACGGTTGGTGTGTTTCTATCTAAACACGTTCAGGGGACAGTCGGGTAGCCTAGTGGTTAAAGCGTTAGCTTGTCACGCCGAAGACCCTGGTTCGATTCCCGACATGGGTACAATGTGTGAAGCCCATTTCTGGTGACCCCCGCCGTGATATTGCTGGAATATTGCTAAAAGCGGCGTGAAGCCATACTCACTCACTTAACACGTTCAGGATCAAAATACATGAAATGAGCAACGTATCACAGCCTAAACACATCCGCATATCTAGGCATGTAGAATTTAAAGACGTTTTGGACACAGTGCCTATCATTGTGTATTATCCAAATAATATAAACATCTTCCTCCCTTATTAAGGGGGCGGTCGGTTAGCCTAGTGGTTAAAGCGTTCGCTCGTCACGCCGAAGACCCGGGTTCGATTCCCGACATGGGTACAACGTGTGAAGCCCATTTCTGGTGACCCCCGCCGTGATATTGCTGGAATATTGCTAAAAGCGGCGTGAAGCCATACTCACTCACTTAACACGTTCAGGATCAAAATACATGAAATGAGCAACGTATCACAGCCTAAACACATCCGCATATCTAGGCATGTAGAATTTAAAGACGTTTTGGACACAGTGCCTATCATTGTGTATTATCCAAATAATATAAACATCTTCCTCCCTTATTAAGGGGGCGGTCGGTTAGCCTAGTGGTTAAAGCGTTCGCTCGTCACGCCGAAGACCCGGGTTCGATTCCCGACATGGGTACAATATGTGAAGCCTACTGATCCCGCTTGGCTAGGCCTTGTGCCCTCGCAAAATCGTTTCGAAATTTATATCTTCAAAGTTGCCAAAACTTATAAAATGCCTTAGCTACGTCACAGTTAGGCACTGATTTTAAGTATATTAAACTGTTCTTTTGAAAATGATTGCAATTATATCTGTAGTTTATCCAGATTCCCGATGGTTAATTCTAACTCGTTTGCCGAATGACAAGGGCGGCGCCATGTTTGTTTATAAACACTGAAAGTAGTACCTGCTTGACCTTTGGTATTTGCATCTCTAGCCGCATATGACCCCAACGGATATCGTTTTGATCCGTAGGCTTCATCCTGCCGAGAAATCTGCCCATTATATGATAAAATGGCCCATCAGTAGTGTCAATAGCTATAGACCGGATGTGTTCTGATTATAGCTTTCCTTAAGGTACGTTTATGATGTGTTTTGTTGGTTTGTTTGTTTTTTAAGCCCCCATTACACAGGGCTGCGACCTTAGTGCCACCTTCGAGCGATCGAAAACTGGCCAGGACGCTCAATGGTCGCCTAAACCCAGAAAATCATGTTTCTATGTAACTGCTCCAGCAGTTGTTCAGCAGAACGCATCTATTACCTGGTGACCATCTGACGACCACTGTGCCTTCATTCTGCAACAACGGCAATGCTTGTGCCTCCCTTCTGCCTCCTTTGAGACACCTTTGAGCAACCAACCTCCTCGGCGACCTTTGTGCGACGGTGACCATGGCGTCCATGGCGATGTCCGAACCTCCTGTGTACCACCTTGGAACGACCTAGGCAACCATTCTGCCTCCTTTGAGCCTCCAACGACGACCTGGTAAATTCTATGGTCGCACACGGGAGGTACAAAGGTCGCCATCCTGTGTAAAGGCCGGCCCATTTACGCCGCACTCTGCAATAATTCACCTACATGACGGTGGTCTGTAAATAATCGAGTCGTGACCAGACAATCCAGTGATTGGCATCATAAGCATCGATCCTCGCAATTGGGATAAGATGACATGCATCAGCTAAGTCAGCGACCCTGACCAACCGATCCCGTATGTCGCCTCCTACGACAGGCATAGTCGCCATTTACGGCAAGCATGGGTTGCTGAAGACCTATTCTACCTCGGATCTTCACGGATCGTGCCATTAGTTGTCATGCATGTCTAGCAGGTGTTCAATGAATTAAATATGTTAATAATGCCACCACAGTGCAGCCCACCTAAAACTGCATTAACTGTTTAAGATTTCGACAAAGACAGCGACAGCTGTTGTCAATGTGATATTCAACATTTTCAGCATTTTAACTGAGGATTATCAACTATCACAAAAAACCTAATGATTAAAACAAATTAATATGCCATCACATGAAGAAAAATACATGCTACCTCTGTCAAATAGTCCAACCAGCCACTAGTTGAGAGAATTCACGAGCATGATTAAAACTCAAGGTCGAAACAAGGTCAAAATGAACAAACTCGTGTACACATGTTTTGAGTCACAGGACTAGCTATATATTTTTGCCCATTAAAATTTAAAACAAACATAGTTTAGTAACAGCCAACAGAAGGTTTTTCAATATGTCTACCGTGGCGCGGTAAAAAATTGAAAAACGTTTCGTGTGTCTGTCGGGCGTATTGACATATTGTGAACAACGTTCGCGGGTACACGTAGAGAAACAAAGTGATTTTACGTGCGCATCAGAGGATTTTGACATAGAATAATCCATTTCCAAATGCGTGGCGTCATGATCAGCGACAAAAATTATGTGGGATACAATTCCCTATTGTGACTGGAGTCATAGGTTCCCTTGATTTTAGCAGGTGACTTGACTTTGCATGTGTTTGTGATAGGTGCTCCCGTAGGGGCAGGGTACTCGCACCTTCTGCGAAGTATCATCACTGTTTGATGCTTATGATAAAGTCGTACAGTAGCCTCTGTATCTGGCAGAGATTTCTTATGATTATGAAAATGGTTTTGGCGCTTTATTCAAAAACCAGACTCAGCAATATTCCAGCTATGGACAGTATTGAACTATCAGTGTCCGTACCAGACAAACCTGTGATTGATATTGTGAACAACAATCCACTCTGTCGACGGAAGATACGCTATCAACCGTTTGCGCAAAAAGCTGTTTCATGGCAGTGTATTTTATTGTTCAACATGACCGCCTCCGTGGTCTAGTGGTAGAGCGTCCGCCCGGAGAGCGGAAGGTCGGTGGTTCGATCCCCGGTCATGTCATACCAAAAGACGTTAAATATGGTACTGGGCGGGAGAGAGCCTAGTGGTTAAAGCGTTCGCTCGTCACGCCGAAGACCCGGGTTCGATTCCCAACATATTTCTGGTGTACTCCGCCGTGATATTGCTGGAATATTGCTAAAAGCGACGTAAAAGACTACTCACTAAATCACTCATATTCAATATATCGAATCTTCATGTAAGTCTGAAAAACAATATTGGTAAATTTAACATTTGAAACTTCTAATGCTCAACGTTCAGTTCCATATTCAGTTAAGCGCCCTCAAATCTGCACGTGACAGCCCAACACTGAAAACAGTTTTTCTAAAACTTTTTCTCCTCAGTATTCACAACCTATCTGAAGTTAGATCGAAAGGTTCAAAACACATCCCTTTATCAAACCACTCCCCAATGTCCATGTAGAGTGTTCCGTTACTTTCAACATCCCACAACCGGTTACAAATGTCACACATGGGCACCATATCGTAATGATAGGTCATATATCTTATGATCCCATTTTTAACTATGGGCCACTCCTCCCAAACGGCATGATACTGGTTCTTCTTGCGTAGAATATTGACATAGTCTTTTTCATTGTGAGCCAGCTCGTTCAACAACTGGGCAAGACGCTGAGGTGATACGAAGTCAGCTGCATTGATGAAGGTTCCTGGGGGAGCAACGGCACTGTAGTCGCCCCCACCCCTGGCCACTACGACCATATCAGAGTTGAAGTAACGGAAAAACTTTTCAGTTATGTAGTCTTTACAAAACGCATTTTCAAAGGCTAAGTAGAATTTGTAATTTTTCGAAAGATGTTCCAGACACGATTCGTCATCAGATCTTGGACATCTGTGGTCGCCACACTTGCCGAATATATCAACTTGGACATAGCGACTCAATTCCCGAACATATTCCTTTCTTTTACTCATAGTTCGGCAGTTGCTTACCATCCATACAACTGTTCCATTCTTCGAAGCCCAGATTTGTGAATAGTTTCTTATTGGTGGATGTTCTTCTCTAAGAAATGTTCCATTCTTCCTTTGGAAGATTCCGTACGGGACTTTGAAATCGGCGTCATTCCTATAGCCCATCGTCCAGTTAAATTTGGAGCTCCAGGCTTCGTTGTACAAATACGTGTTTTTATTCACCCACCGTGGAGACTCATGATTATGTAATATCCACACTTGATTCCTAAGCTTCACTGGTGGCATCTGATCTAGGAGCCGTGCAGTAAACACAAGAGCATCACTCTGGTTGTAGAAGTCTCTGTTTGTTGTAACCCGACATCTGGATTCTGGGCATCCCCGCAAGGGGTGTAATCTCGACAATATTGGATGATACCTTGTTGGGGAATACCACAGTATGACCTTCGTGTCTCTAGTCACAAGGTCAGTCGCTGGTTCAATGTCCCCTCTTCTCAGGAGCACTTCGAGACTTTTGTTTTCACCACTCTGAACATCTATGTCCGGCATACGTCGGTAAACATGTTGAAAGGTTTTGATAGGAACGTATTCACCAGTGCTTCGAGTTTTGTCGTTCAATGTGTTTTTTGCTTTTGAAGCAGGCGTGTCGATGTAGAAAGAACTGAAGGATGCTGGGTCAGACAAAGGAAGCGAGTCTTTCTTGAGGTGCAACAGTCTGTTCAAGTGGAACGAGTCTCTTTCATTCTTAAGCGTATAGTCCATTGAATCAAAGAGCTTTCGTTTTGAAACAAGGATTTTGGTTAATCTTAAAACGATGTAGACAGCGGCCATGAGACAAAACACTTTGAAAAGACTGGATTTTGTCAAAAGCCGATTCAATCTGAAATGAAAAATAAAAGACTTTGTATTCTTACAACGTTAAAACATCTTTCAATCTGTATATTTATTTAGTACATTTTAATCAATGACGGAGCATGTCCATGAAGATGCTGTTTAGAATTGATCTTCA